CCCCCCGGTATTTGTGCACGGACAGTCTCATATTCAGCCTTCAAACCCACCAGAAACCTTGTCACATCAAGTTGCTCACGCTGTTGTTGCTGAATCTGAACATCCTGTGTCAGAGGATGATACACATTGAGCTCATTTTGGATATTCCTCAGACTTGCATAGTATTCCTCCAAGCTTTGACTGCCCTGCTTCATATTAAAGTACTCTTGGTACAACTGATACCTAGTTGTATTGTCTTGCCGAAGTACAGTTTCTTAGCATGATCCCAGATTTCTTTAGTTGTATCTAGGAACATAAAGTTCACGCTAATTTTTTGTTCCATGCTATTCCACAGCCATGTCATTATTTGTGCATCTTCCTATTCCCAGTCACTAAACCCCRRAGAATCAGAGGAGGRTTTCTCCTCTCTCACATGTTTTACTTTTTTCTTGGCCTTTAAAAACACCTCCACAGATTTTGCCCACGACACATAATTCTCACCATTCAACTTAATAAATGTCATTTGAACATTTAGGTAATCTAGAGAAATCATAACACCTGTTTTATTGTCATTCTCATCTCCAATCGATGCCATCTTAACTAATTCACCTTCAAATATTCAGCACAACTTCACACACTTCACAAAACTTATCTCACTCTCAGCACCACCAACTTCTTCAAATACACATTGCACATCAAATACAAAAACTGAAATCACTCAGTCATTAAATCAAACACCTGTACTGCACACTACACCACCACACGACACAAGGTTTCACTTTCAACTATTCAGAATCACCCACACACCATTCAACACAGTACAACCACCACCACACCACTGCTGTCGTGAACTTCAGCAGTCGAAAAACTCTACTTTCAGCACACATGAGGTAAAAACAGTGAAGAACAAGGCTGATATGCATACTAATCACTTCAAACCTCCACAAAAAAAATATTTTGAACCAAAACACAGCATTTACAGTCCACTATTTGGGCAAAAAACAGAACTGCTCATACCTGTCCACAAACAGCCCTCTTCGTATCACAGAATAGAGGGCATCTAGTACACAACCTCAACGACCACCACCACAGTAACTGGAGGCATACTCACCTCCAAAACCACAAAACGACCACTCCTTTTTGGCCTCTTGTCGAGCTTCCACTCAGGCTAGAAGAAAATCGAAAAAGCTGAAATAGTTGGTGGCGAACCCAGGAAGAAGACAAACAGTGAGGAAAGAAAAAAAAAAAGGGAAAAGAGAACTAGGTTTTATTGCTCTGATACCATGTGAAACCCCTATTCGATTCTAGGTTAAAGTAGAGAAGAAGAGGAGAAGAAGAATAAGAGAAGAAGAAGGGTTCGGCCAGATTAGGAAAAATCAGTCCACCTCTAGCCGACCCACTTGTATTTATCTCMAATAAYATARTTACAAGAAAGACCATATTGTCCCTCATAAGTGATGGGACACATAACTTAAACTTAAACAAAATAGACCTTTCACTCTCAGATAGATAAACCCAAATGACCAAAATACCCCTGATTTGTGTATTCTAACAACCTCAATTAGGTAGGGAAGTATCCTTAGCTGGGGCTGAGCTTGCAATTTCCTTCCAATTTCTGAACAAATCAGCTGCTGAGAAATCTTTAAATAGATCCAAGGACTTCAGCCAACGTACAACTCTACCTCCAGGACATCTGGAAGACTTCTTTCTCTATCTGAAAAAACTCTCCCATTCCTTTCTTCCCAAATAGTCCAGCATGCAGCAGCCCTGATACATCTCCACATGACTTTTCCTCTTTTTTTTTTTTTTGACCAGCTTAACATGGAGGACGAAAATAGACTTTGTACATCTAATGGGGGTGACTACCTGCACCCAAACAGAGATAAACACCACTCCCAAATGTGATTAGCAAAAGAGCAGGAAATCAGTAAATGGTAATCAGTCTCACCCTCAGCCCTGCAGAGAACACACCAATGAGGAGATAAGTAGCTATTAGGCCTCTTTCTCTGAAGTAGATCATAAGTGTTGACTCTTTCCAGGATTGCTTCCCAGCAAAAACTCTCGACCCTCGAGGATTAGGTTTGCACCAAACTTCCTTTACCGGAAAGGGCTGCCCTAACTGATCCGATGGTTGGACTAGAGCTTTAAAGTAGGATGCACAAGAAAAAAAAATCCCAGAGGCTGACAAAGTCCATACCCTGCTATCAGGTTTAGTGGGATCTTAAAAAACCCCTTCAAGAATATTAAGAAGAGACAAAGTTGTTCAAGGCATTACCTAGGTGACTAGGTGCCTTGACTTATATGAAAAAAGTCAGTAAGTCACCCTTGTAGAAAGCAAAAAATCACAAGACAGACACCTTATTATGATATTAATGCTATAGCTGCATCTTATTAGTAATTACGTGGAGACATCATACATCTATTGCATATCATATATATCACTTATGGTTGTTTTAAGGTTTTACTATTGAAATATAAAATATTCAAGGGCTTTGAAAGAGGATAAGAAAGAAGAGAACAGAAAAATAGGTTTCTTCTTTTTTTTCTATAACTACTCTCTCTACATGTATTAAATACTTTTTGTATTATAATTAATTTTGCAAATATTGTAATTAATAGATTTAAAATACTATTGTCATTTAGATATGATGATTTGCAATTTTTGAGAAGAAATTTAATGTCATTTTTAACAGTAACAGTCAATTTTTTTAAAAAATAAGAAATCTGTACAAGTATAGGTGTAATGCACCCTGAGAAGTTGACATCTAGACTCCCCACTTCTTATATATACAGTTTTTACAAGTTTCCCACTACACCCCAGAATAGATGCTCTCTATCAACTCCTCATTTGGCTATGAAATCAACCAGAAAGGCTGTTTTCAAGATTTGAACCCTGGTCACCCAGGTTGCAATGGAGCAACCCAACCATTGCACCAAGGCCTACCCTCAATTTGATTCAAAACCCTTTAGTTTAGGATATACAGTATAATAACAATTTTCAGAACATTATATAAGCCATTAATAACATCCTTTTTCAACTAGACAATGGCAAAAAGACTCATTGACAAGAAGAATCCAACCCTGTCACAATTACCTGAATATTTTTGATAGTTCATCAACCTGATTATCAGCCATTCTGCCCAATTATGGGAACCATGGTTAAATTCAATCCAATGTTTTAAAAGGTGTGGGAGGTGCATGCCGAGAGACAAGTCTCCAGGCAAGGTGCCCCCAAAACACCCTGAGGCACATGCAAAAGGATTAGGAGGCATCCTCCTCTTTAGAAGGCTTACACCTTGTGTTCGGGAGGCTTATGCTTCTTATGTTCAGAACTATGCCTCATGCCTCCAAGTAGTGGAACACCTCGCATTATTCCTCCAAGTTTTAAAAAATTGATTCAATCTAACAAACTAGGGTGTGCTTCGGGTCATTAGGATACATCTTAGTAGCTTAGGTGATAATGATGGAACTGGCGGATTTTTTAATTGCAGATACCTTGTGTAACCCAATTTAGGCTAGGTGATAATTCAGGAAAAGTTAGTGGGTCGGGTATCAGGGGTGAGTGCTCTGAACCAGGTGGAATTCTTAAGACTTTAAGCAACTCGCTGGATAATCCTGGCAAGTCTTCTCTTAGAAATTTAAAACGAGATGCTAAGGATCCCCATCACAATGACATGAGCTCCAATGCCTGGTCCAAATCTTTAGCTATACGATCTATGCCTTCCGCAGGAGGTATCGAATCAGAAGTTAGGGAAGATCTAGAGGGGGAAGTCAGAGTGGGGAGGTTGGAAACCAAGACTGTGGAGTGTCTTCAGTAGGAAAAAGAGTACAAAAGATGATGACAAAGCTAGAGAAGCTGATACCAAATCRATGAAAGTGGCAGAAATTGAAAAAGAAGGGATTGGAAGGGAGAACGGGTTGGGGGAGAAGAGTCATGGAAGAGGGGAGAGAGGAAAGAATTCTGAACAGGGATCGAGTTGGAAGAGGTTGATCGCAAGGTCTATAGTGAAACAGTAAAGAAGAATGTTGAGGAGGAAAAGGAAGGAAAGCCATGGCCAAGAGTCTACAAAAGGAAACAAAAATGCAGAACTAGACCTTTGCAAGATGTTGGGGAAATAGGTGATGAGGGTGGAGAAACATCAGCTGCAGAGGAGCAAGAAGTAGTCATAGATGAGACTCACAAAGTTGAGAGAGTCGTGGATATGAAAATGGTTCTGAACAAAGAGGTGAAGACTAGTAAAATATTGGGATTATTCTTCTTGGGTGGAGGATTTTGCAAAGGAAGCTTTTAGGGAGGTGGAAGAAGAGTCTAGAGCTCAGTTGAAAAGAAGGATAAAGGGACATTAAACTCAGACGTTGAGGTGGGTGGTTCTGATTCTGGGAGGGCTGAGGAGAATGGGATTGTGAAGGTTGATGGAGATGTAGGGGAGGGAAAGGTCAGGAGAGAAGGTTTGAAAACAGCTCAATTTTTTGAAAAGAATGCAATATTTGAATTAGAAAGAATCATTGATAGAAGGAAGGTTTATACGAAGATGGAGAAAATTCCTAATGCAGTTAGAAGATTTAGAAGACAGAAAACTAATCAAATGATGCAAGTCTCAAAAGCTTTTGCCAGGTTAAAGTTGGGAGTATTTGGGACGTGACTAAAGAAGAAGGGGAAGAAGACAAAGAGAGTCTCTCAGATGAGAAGTTCCAAGCTATGTTTTGGACAGTGGATACATGGAGAAAATGGATAAAGCTTGAATTGCATATCTCATTGGGGTGTTTTCTTCTGTGTTTTTTTGGCAGGGGTTGGAAGGGTGGTGGATCTGCAGTTTCCTGTTTTTCTATTCTCATATTTGGTAGGAGGGATATTCGTGATATTTGTTGGGGCTTTTGCAATTGTATCCGGGTTTGGACAAAAAGACCTTGGGCTCTTTAACTTCAAAGCATATGGTTTCACACTTTGGGTGACATCTGAATAGAAAATTTCCACCATAATGCATTTAACAGGAATTTCATTCAAAGCAAACAGAAACTACCTTAAAAAGCTCCACTGGAGTAAACCATGCTATGTCATGTTGCTTGTAAATTTTATCCAAGTGCCGCATGTAAGCCTTCCTCCCTGAAACACAGCAAAAAGGTAGGATACATAAAAAAACGGAGATATATTGCGGAAACAATCACATGTTTGCTTTATATAATCCAGTTACAGTTTTATGATAACATTTCTTTAAAACAAACCTACTGCAGATAGGAGCATAAGAAAACATCAAATAAGTAACATTGTTCATTTCAATTTCAGAATGCAAAAAAATAAAAAAATAAATAAAGAAGTACAACTAACAGAAAGCACATATTCTTATCTATCATTGACACTATGCAGCACTGCAAACCTAAATTTTTTATCAAAAACAACTTAGAATTCATTGATCAGAGAACTTGGTTGGAAACAGAATAAGCAATATGGCAGTTCAGACAGATTCAAAGAGAAGTTAAATACTTGATCAGACTTTTCAGTGGGTCAGAAGACCAGAAAAAAGTTTGGCCAAAGAAGGGATATACATAGGGATCAATTCTTTTGGGCTCAGTTCTAAGATAACTACTATAAGTAGGATAGGCAGATGCTGACTTGCCCATGCATAGGGATGCTTGGCATTTTTGTACTTAAATCATTCTTTTTACAAATTAACAAAAGTTTTACTCGTTACCGGAAAATAAAGAAAAAATAGAAATTCATTAATGAAGAAACAGATATAAGTAAATGTTTAAACAAATAATACTTGCATGTTCTTTTTTTTTATCAGTAACTCAAAAGGAATTTATTAATTTTAAAAGAAAGTAGAGAAACAAGACATTGTGGAAATACAGAAGACACCAAGTGTCTAAACCCCCCAAACATATTACAGCAGAGCCCAAAAATACTCTATCTCTGAACCCCTTGCTTAGCTAGACCATCTGCCAGACAATTGGCAAATCTTCTAACCCAATTAACCTGAATAAACATGCCCCTAGAGAACCAGTTGAAACGCCTAAGAACATTCCTTAGATTCCAAGATATTCCTTCTCCCTTCTTTAGCCATTCTACAACTATTTTCAAGTCGCCTTCAATAATTATTCTTTCAATACCCAATTCTTTGGCTTTCTCAACTTCAGAAATTACCTTGCTCAATTGGACCTGAGAAGAAAGCACGTATATTTCCTTCCTCATCTCTGATTACACCTCCAATTCTGGAGGGGCCAGGATTGCCCACACAACTCCCATCAAAATTCAGCTTCAGCCAACCACCAGTCCACTGTTGCTATCTGTCTTCTAGGAAATGAAGCAACTTTTTTTATAAATAACAGAAACTTTTATTAATAAAGAGATTAAAAAGGAAGATACAACAGGAGGGAGGAGTAAAATCTCTTAACCCCAAGATTTTTTTTTTTTTGTAAAAGGTAAGGTCATTTATTTATTTTTTGATCAATGTAAGGTAATTTATTCATCAAAGAAACATTATAATAAAGCCCATGCCATTAAAGGCTGCCTGGGACCACATCAGACTACAATTTCATCCAAGGCTGAGAACAAAATAAAAGACACAAATTCTGATGTTTAAATTCCTCCGTCACCAACACCCAAGAAAATAACTTGCCCACAGCTCTCTGAACTATTTCATCTAAGCTTTTAGCTTTACAACAGAAAATTCTGCTATTTCTCTCAGTCCAAATAGACAAAAGCACAGCTGCCGGAATGGTGTTCCAAACCAGTTTTCCTTTCTTGCTGAGGCCCTCAATACTCCAACAGTTCAGCAGCTCCTTCACTGAATTTGGCATTATCTAACTAATTTCCAAGGCCTTAAGAAAGTGCCCCCAGACATAGGAAGAAATTGGGCAATGGATACACAAGTGCTCAGTAGTTTCTGCAAGAGTACCACACAAGCCACACGAGATATCCAGAATCTGAATACCACGTCTCTCCAGATTAACTCTAGTCAGACATTTATCAAGAACCATTGTCCAAACCAGAAAATTAACCTTAGAGGGGCTAGTTGAATTCCAAATCTGCCTGGCGGGGAAATTCTCCTGACCTGAACTAAACAGCTTGAGAAACATAGATTTAACAGAGAAACAACCATCTGCATTCCATTTCCAGCTCCATTCGTCCTCCAAACTTAAATCAATCATCTGATTTTGAAGCAAACCCAACAGTGCCACATACTCTTCCACCTCCCAATAAAACAAGCTCCTCCTGCAAAGCGGATTCCAAATAATGGAATCACCTGATGCATTAAAATTCTCAGCTATAGAAGAATCCTGATTTACAGAGACTTGGAACAGAAGAGGGAAAACTTCTTTCAAATACACTTCTGAACACCAGAGATCCTTCCAAAATTAAATTCTTTCCCCATTTCCCACCTTAAATCTGATCCCTTCCAAGAAGATAGGAAGGTACTTCAAAATACCTGCCCATAGAGAACTCACCCCTCTAGAACGAGGACACTTGGATCTCCAATCACCCCACTCCACCCCATATTTTTCCGCAATAAGGTTTCTCCACCATGCATTTCTTTCAGTGGCAAACCTCCATAACCATTTACTTAGAAGGGCAGAATTAAATTTCTTCAAATTCCTTATTCCCAGCCCACCAACTTTCTTTGGGAGACACACTTGCTCCCATTTTACAATATGGATCTTCTTTTCCTCTTCCCATCCCCTCCATAAAAAAATCCTCTAGATTTGCTCCAGCCTATTTGCTATTTTGATTGGGATGGGGAATAGAGAAAGGAAGTAAGTAAGAAGATTTGAAAGAGTACTCTTAATCAGTGTCACTCGGCCCCCAAATGAAAGATATTTTGCCTTCCAAAAAGCCAATTTTCTCTCCATTCTCTCTATAATTGAAACCCAAGTCGCAGAAGAAGAAAATTTAGCCCCAAGAGGCAGCCAAAATACTTAACCGAGAGATAAGCAGTTTGGAAAGCCATCACTTCTGCACATTCTTCTAAGTTTGGAACAAGACCCACTGGGATGATCTGACTCTTACTCAAGTTAACTTTGAGTCCAGACACCACTTCAAACCAACTCATAATCCCAAGCACTAATTCCAACTAAATCGGGGATGCATCAACAAAACATAAGGTATCGTCTGCAAACTGGAGGATATTAACTTTTTCCTTTCCTGGAGAGATTGCAAATCCATCCCAATACCCATTATCTGCAGCCTTCTTACTGAAAAGAGTTAGGATTTCCATGATACAGATAAACAGCAAGGGGGAAAGTGGGTCTCCCTGCCTCAAACCTCTAGAACTACCGAAGAACCCCATAGATTGGCCATTAATTAGGATAGAAAATTTTGGGGTCTTAACACATACTCTGGTCCAGTTTCTCCATTTCTGCCCAAAATTCATTTTCTCCAGCACCAGATCCAAGCAATTCCAGTTAACATGATAATATGCTTTCTCAATATCAAGTTTACAAATTACACTCGAGGTACCCTCTCTTCTTAACCCCAAGATTTGAAAAAATCATTGACCTAAAAGTCTAAAAACAAATCCAATGCTTTAACCCAACGAGCCACCCTTAGGGTTATGATCTCAATCAAGGCTTCCTTGTTTCTCTCCTTATCCCCAAATATTCTTGAATTTCTTTCCTCCCAGACTGTCCGAACCACTGCTGCCCTGGTACATCTCCACATTAGTCCGCCTCTTTTATTTGTACAACTGCAATTAGAAGGGCTAAACAATCCTTCCAAGCCGACAAAGGGGCAGGGAATTAAGAAATGAAGTGCAGTCTCACCATTTAATTTACATAAGCAGAACCAATTGGGGACAAACACCAGTTTGGTCTTTTCCTTTGGAGCTCACCATATGTGTTAATGCAGCCGTGATACACTTCCCAATAGAAAGCACTAACTCTAGGAGGAATGGGGGAACACCAGATTTCCTTAACAGGGAAAGAAGGAGAATGGGAAGAAGGGGAGGCTACAAGTGAATTAAACAAAGATTTACAAGCGAAGAGCTCAACATGAATTTCAGATTTACAAGTGAAGAGCCCAACAGCAATGTAAGTAAAGCAGGCACACTAGGAATTTCAGATTCTCTAAGGTTTCTAGTGAAGCCCAAGTTTAACTCAAGAGAGGAGAGAGGGACAAATAAATTCTGACATTGGTCTACCTTTGAGATTGGAAAGAGTGTAAAGGGAGGGAAAAGTTTCCTTCAAAGGGGACTCCCCGAGCCAAATATCTTCCCAAAACCTAATCTTCTGACCCGAGACCAAGTCATACCTGATGTGGTTGAGGAAGATAGGAAGAGAGTCATGGATGGATTTCCAAGGAGTAGACATGTTAGCTCTTTGAAGACAACCAGCATCCAATCTGTTGCTTGGCAGCCCATGCACACTTGCAACCACTTAATGTGAAAGTCTTTGACCTTCTTTTGGAAATCTCCATAGCCATTTACTCAACAATGTCTATTTTTTAATCTCAAATTTCCAATTCCCGACCCCCCCCCCCTTTTGCTTTTAACTTTATCACCTTCTCCCAACTAAGCAAGTGATCTTTCTTCCCTTCCCCAAGTTCCCACAAGAAGTCTCTCATAATATTTTCAATTTTTTTCACAACTTGCAACAGGCCACTATGGGATAGAACCTTAGCAATGATCTTGTATATGCTGGTTACTAGGCTGATAGGTCAAAAATCCCTTGGATGGGTAGCACCTGGTTTCTTAGGGACCAAATCTATGAAAGTGGAGTTCATCCCCGAGCTAATTTTACCCCTGCTATGGAGTTCATTGAATGCTTTGACCAAATCAATTTTGATTATCTCCCAACAATCTTGATAGAAAACCATTGTATAAACCATCGGGACCCAGAGCTTTAGATTTATCCATTGAAAAAATTGCTTCCTTAATTTCCCCTTCCTCAAATCTTTTTTCCAGGAGCTCCACTTGACCTTCACAGGGTTGCATAAACTCATTGTTTAATAGATTCCGCAATTTGTTCTATTTAGTGCCATATTCATTGTCAAATTATGAACCTTTAAATCATTTCTTACTACTTCAATAAGGGATGGCAACAGGACGTGTTCAAGGAGGGTTTTGTAAATTCTAGACCCTACCCACCTCCCTAAACCTCCCAACCCGTACCCGCCTCAAAACCCATAGTGAGTTGGATTTTGAGAATCCAAACCCTACCTGCACATGAAAATGCAAAACCCTCTCTGACCCTACCCTCCCCACATTCAAAGATAGGGAGGGTTGGATTTAGATCCCGTATCTAATTTCCTATTATTTCTTGTAAGCAATAAATAAGTAAAATAACACGAATAAACAACAAAATTTCCAATTATTTGATTAAGATATGTATAAAACACACGAACTATCAATTATCTTTCACGTAAAATTCAAAATATTATTAAATTCAACACTTGGTACATAAAATTTATATGCTTTCCAACAATATGCAGGTCGGGGAGGTCGGGTTTAGCCTAATACCGTACCCTGCCCGTACCCGCCCCAAAACCCATCCTTCAAGCAAAAAAACCCATCCCGTCAGGTAGGGTAGGGGCAAGTACCCACTGGGTAGGGTAGAAATTGCCATCCCTAACTTCAATCAATGCCCCTTTTGGTCTGCCGCTAGCTATTCTAGCCCCTTCAACTTGTAACGTTACACTTCTTCTTATAGGTGCTGTACATGGTCTCTGAATGTGACCATATCATATAAATCTACTTTTCTCATTTTACCACCTGTTGGGGCAATTCCTAGGTAGGGGTGCAATTAAACCAAGACGAACTTCAGCATGTCTTGGCTTGGTTCAACTAAAATACTCCTATATTTGAACCTAATTTCGAGGTCAATTCAAACTCTATTTTCCTGTATGTTATCTTTTTTTATTTTATATATGTATATACGTGTATATATATCTAGCCAGGATTGCGAGCTTCCAAGCCTAATTGAATTTGAGCCCAAACTATTCGATTCAAGCTCAATACGATTGCACCCCTACTCCTAGGCTCCTTCAAATAATTTCATTTCTGATCCTGTCATTCCTATGTTTCCATTAATCCATCTCCACTTTCACACTTCTACAACACTCATTTTTTTGTAATCGAATTCCTCAATAAATAATAAATAAGAATAAATGCTGAAAAGCTGAGTTCTGGTTAAAATCTCAATCAGTATATTGGAGGASGCTATGTAAAGATCCTCTCTTATAAAAGATAAATTATATTAGCAAAAACAAGAAGAACAAGATGGAAAAACCACTTCAAGGATGGGGGCCTCACAAACTTAGAGCTCAATTCAGATTAYGCTTCTTTATTGTCTTTCAGCCATATAGCATCTACATATATAAGAAGTAAAATATTTACTTGAACCTAATAGATCCTACCTAAATCTAGTCTTAATTCAATCCAGATAATTCAAACATTTACTTGCTATTTCCGTCTAAYTAAGTAAAAGTAACCTCCTCCTCAAGGTCAAGCTATTTGTCATTAAACTCATCATGCTTCTCCCAGGTTCCAAATCTTTGTCAAATAACCATCATGCTGAAAAATCAAGTTCTAGGTAGTAGGTACAATCCCAATCAGCATATTAGAGGAGTCCAATACCATCTAGGCATCTAAAAATCCCAATCTTGTAACTTGGTTAACCATCAGACCAAAAGATCCCCAATTATTAGCTTAGGCATTTCTAAATATTTAGGACGAGTTAATATTCAATAGTCACATTCAAGCATGTAACAGGAAATACTTTTATGGTTTTAGTATTCAAATATACAAAGTAGAAAGAGACAGATATACCACAAGCTTGAAAATGGAAAATGTGTAGAGTACCTTCTAGCTGATTGAATTTGATGCTTTTCTCGAGCATCCCGACTACCCCAGATCTTTGAGAGAAATACCCATGATTAGGATCATATAATGCAGAACGAATAAAATCTCGAACCTGCAACAATTGAAATGCCGAGGAAAATTATCACTTTAATCCCAGAAGCACTAGGGACATTTATTTACAGTCAAAAAGAGACTAACGAGAATGGGAGTTTCGCCAACTATGCTGGTAGAGAAGAAAGCCGGAGATGGATACGCTAAGGGTTCACCTGAAAACACTGGAGCAAACCAGCAATAGGATTAGTAAACCACGAAGAATGGCATAGAGAGAAAGAGAGAGAGGGTGGTTGGTTGTTGGTACCTTTGGTTGCCCGAAAGGAGAAGAGGATAGAAATCTTTACAGCATCRGATGTTCGACGGCCCATCATTATTCGTTGGCTGTCTCCTCACTGTTTTTCAATCACAATTTCACAGAGCTCGAGCTCTGGAAAACTGAAACCTCTAAGGTTTAAACTCCAAGTGTAGTCATGAGTCATTCAGACTTTCAGAGYCCGACCGGACGACCCGCAGACCGGTTCTGTTCTGTCTTCTATGTAGACCTGTTCACGGGCCGGGTTCGGACCGAGCTTAGCCTCCATATCAACAGAACTTGTTAAGCCCGAGCCCAGGCCCGGGTCCAAGCCATAAGCCCGACCTTCAAATTGGGCAAAARGATTTTCGATTTTTACTTACCAATAAAACTGACTTATTTATATTAAATAACTTCAAAACCGAAAAATACATAAAGATCTTATAATGGCTTGAGAAAAGAGAAGAAGAACAAATTAACAAATTAACAAAAAGCTCGAGTCTGGCAAAAAGAAAAGTTGGGCATAGTGTTTTGGGCATGAGCCTGAGTCCACAAGCTTAAAATCCTGTCTAAGTCCGACAAAGAATGGGCCAGCCGATCCAGCTTTGAATTGGGATGCTGGCAACCAATTTGAATTGGGATCCAGCTTAAAATTCTCCACACTCAACTTTGAATTGGGATGCTGACAACCAATCCAGCTATGCTCAAGGATAAAATATAAAAGGACGTTATTGTATTCTAGCACTTAAAAATATACGATTTTTTCTTAAAAATAATATTTAGCAAAAATTTCTAAATTGTTATAGTGATGGAACCAAGTTGGATCAATGTTTTAAGACTCGATCTAGACCGACAATGGATAGTAAAAAATTGGAAATTGGTGGCCTTTTTGGCAAGGTTTTAAAAACCGACCTGGAAATGTAACCGCTTTTATCACTAGTTTTTTGGGTCAGTGGTTTGATCGTCTACATCGAACGGTCTAGGGGTGCAAGTCAAGTAGGTTGGGTCGAGTTTATGGTCAACCCAGGCCCGGTCTTAAAATTTGGGCTTAAGGCCCGAGCTTGGATTGGGCCTGAGTTTAAGCCCAATTTTCCCAACCCGAACCTGGCCCACACTGTAATATGATGCACTTGGGTTGGGTTCGGGCTTGAGTTGGTCAATGAACCCACTCAAAAATTATGCATATATATGTAAATTTATGCAAATATGTCTACATACATTTATGTATATATGTAAATATTTATGTATATATATATATATATATATGTATGTATGTACAAATGTGTATAGTTGGGTCGAGCTCAGGCTACCTAAGGGCTAGGCCCGAGTCTGGCCTAAAAAGTAAAAAATCTTGACTTCTTGGACCGAGCCCAACCTGAGGACCAAAAATTCAAGCCCAACCTGTGTAAAATTTTGGACTGGGCTAGTTTGGGCTTGGGTTGGGCTCACCCAAGTTGCACCCCTACCTGAGTAGAAGGTTTAGTGCTTCAACCTTCAAGTGTTCGGACCAATAGTTCTCTGATCAATTCAATGGTTTTTTTTCTCAAAAAAGTGGTCAAACCTAAAAACAGACACGAATATACAACCAGTTCCTAGGTCAAATAGTTCGATCATCCAATCTGGTTTGATTTTTAAAACAATGCTTTCCAGGTCCCAATTAACTAGTAAAACCGAACTCATAAAGCATTTCTGATTTTTAATCCAATCCAAGTCTTAAAACATTGAGTTGGAATCCTAAAAATTTATTTATTAGATATCATTATTTGCAAAATGTTAATTATAAGGGAGTTAATATCGATTTGGTAAAAGTAATTAATAAATCCCCTCTACATTGTATACAAAAGGATTGGATCCATATAAGTAAAGTCTCTCTCCTAGGGATGACAATTTTCCCTTTGGTTCATGGAAAAACTTGGAGCCAACCCTGTGAAGGTCAGTTCTTGGAACCTATACTTTTGGGGTTGGTTCGATGGTCTACTCTTGGAACCTATAATTTTTTTACTCTCCCCCTTAAAAAAGGGCAAATTTCTTAAAATATCCCTGTTTAACTATTGTTTTGCAACTCCACTATTATTTCTCAGTTCTACAATTGACACCACGTGACGCGTAATTATTTTTAAACCCAATATTACCCTCTTCGTCTAATGACCCCTCGACGAGCGTTTTGGCTTCTTCAGTTAGGCCACTAACACTGCACAGACGCTATCGGTAACCACCCCCTTTCCGATCTATGATGGCCTTTCCTTTTCTTTTCTTGGATTTTTCCAATTGATATCCAGTAAGGACTTCAGTCCGGTGAGTACCGGCCACTGAAGATGGAGAAACGTCGGAGCACTCACAGAGGTTGAAATGCACGGAAGGGAAGCAAAGATACAAATAGTTGTTGGTGATTTTAGGATATGTTTGCTACAGAACAAATACCACGTTCATAACACTGGACTGGGGTATGAGAGAGCTGACGATGAACCCAAGAGTGATGGAAAAGCACAGGCTAAAATAAGAAGTATCGTTGGGGACAGAAGAAGCGCTACAGAGGATGATCTGGCCCAAATGCTCACTACTTGAAGGCTGTAATCAAAGAGAGATTCTGGTTGCGTCCACCACTTCCAGTACTAGTCCCAAGAGAATCAATGGAACACATAACCACAGATGGGTATGGGTATGACATTCCGAAGAAAGCACAGATCTTCGTCAATGCCTGCGCAATGGGAAGGTATCGGGAGTCATGGGAGAACCCAGAAGTTTTTGAACCAGAGAGGTTCATGGGAACCTCCAATGATTTCAAGGGCCAGGATTTCTAATTAATACCGTTTGGAGTTAGGAGAAGAGGCTACCCTGCTATTACATTTGGCGCAGAAAGCATTGAACTTGAAACTTGTTAAAGAGTACTCGTTTTATCATTCTGTCCTCTGTCACAAGCTTTTCCCTTCATAGCACTATTTTGAATTTCTGATCATCTTAGAGCTTGGAGGCGTATCTGAACCACATGGCTACGATTCGATTCAAATCTGAATGTTGTAGCGATGATATCTTCAATTGCAGCTTCAGAGTCAGTAAGACGAACCTACGCAACCGACGAGCATCTCAACTAACCGTCCGAAGGAACGTCAAAGAAGTCCGACAACGATGATGTAGAGATATCAGCTGTGCCACTGGTTTCAACCTGAGCCCACCTCTCACAAATGTGGGTTTCCAACGCCCATTATTTTCCATCTTCGACAATGGCTTAACTGGAACGATCATCCCAGACTCCACCCCAAAATGCTTCCACTAAGGATCTCAAACAGCGTGTCATTACCTGCCTCAACAAGCTCTCTGATCGAGACACTTAAGCCATCCCTACCTCCGAGCTTTAAATCCATCGCTCAGTATCTGAATCACGACTCCTCCCTGTTCCTCACTTACATCTACGATACGGATTCTTCCGAGAAGTCACCTGTCCGTAAGGAATGCGTCCGTCTTCTAGGTTTCCTCTGGGGTCTAGTTGGGGACGATAACAACAGGACCGGAAGAAGGGGAGATTTCAAATCAGGTTAAATGAGGAAGAAGCTAAGGGACATTTCAACACTTCTGTTACGAGGGGCAATAATAATTGTCAGAAATAGTAGGGGTGGTTTAAAATAATAATTAAACAGTAAGGGTATGGTTTTCTAATTAACTTAATAATATTATCGTTATATGGTTCAAAACTTATAATTTAAATTGAAATTTTGTAAATATTATCTTTTACACTACTTATAAAAAAAAAGATCAAATCACCAAGTAACTCAATGGTCAAGTGATGAGACCATGGCCTTTATAACCACAAGTGCTTGGATTCAAATCTTTACATCCCCAAAAATATTTTGGGGTTTATTTCAAGACAAGTTTAGTTTTAAGGTAGGCTTCACCAAGGCCGGTTCATTGCATCAGTTCAGTTAGGGTAAACCCTAGACCTTGGAACTAACTTGGGTGGGGATCAACTCCATGAATTTGGAACCAAACCCTACCCTTTAACAGATTGAGTAGTGTCTATTCAAGGCTGGTTCGAGGTTGGTTCTATTTAGTTTCAGGAAGAATATACCTATTTGCTCAACCCTACCCCAACCCAATGGAGTCAGAGATGGAGATTGCGTTGGCGGGCGGGAACAAGGATGGGTTGAAAATGTCTACTAAAATGTCCATATTTGTGTATTTTAAGGGTTGAACATGTAACTAATTATTACTTTTAACCTTATTTAATCCCCTCTTATTAAGTATTATAAGGTATGAATTCTCATTTTCTCTTATTAAATCTTTATTTTTTACTAATAAATGCTATTAAGTCAGTCTATGTCAATATTTTTAATAATATAAATCCATATATTTTAAAACCGACTCAAAAACAAAGTCATTCTTTATCCAAGTGCTGACTAAGCAATTCAACTATTTGAATCAAATTGATTAACCTATGAAGTCATAGTTAGGTAATAAAATGTTTAAAATAGAAATAAATATACAAAATTACAAAAATGTAGAAAAAATTGGACACAATTATGATATTTTTATTAATCAAATAAAAAACAAGTGTAATAAACAATAATTATTTTTATTGATAATGAAAATGAAATACATAATTTAAAATTGACAAAAAAAATGAAATTATTTTACTATTTAAAATGATGAATAGTTCAAATTTTGGATCGAATGTGTTAACCTTTAATATCATAAATAAAGAATAAAACTTAATAAAATAAAAAATAAAAAATAAAATATATAAATTTTGCAAAAAAAATTAGGCACATGTATAATATCATATATTTATCATATTAAACAAAAAGTGAGTGAGACATATCAAAATTATTTTTACACACAAAAATACAAAAAAATATAGAAAAAATTGAACACATATATAATTCTATATTTACACTACTACAAAAAATATGAATAAGATTGTGGAACCTTCTTTTGACTAAAATATTCATTTTTAAATTTAGTCATTGTTTAATTATAAGGTTTAAATCGTAAATTGAACTACTACTACTTTTCACCTTATTCAATTCCCCTATTTAAATCTTATATATTTTTATAAATGAACAAAAATAGATACACAAAAAAGATAAAACATTACGAAAAGAAGAGTCTAGCCAAGCAAGCAAGCCTGTCAATGGTACTTGAAACTTCACAACTCAATTCAATTATCACATGTTTAA